TATTTTGATTAGTACTTGTTAGATTGCAGAGTGACAAAATGTGAACGTTAACCATATTGTGATATTCAAACTCCAAGCATTTTATGAGTACCAATTTTTTAAAAACATCTAAATGTGAATTACAGCAATTTTATTTGCTGAAACTTTTTGTTTTTCACTCTCAGTTGTGCTAGTACAATTCTTTGCTCGATTCTTACCGTGTTTTCTCTTAACGGATACAGGAACATTAATTTAAAAGAATCCAAGAAACATTGAGTTGAATTCATGTACAAAAAATTAACCACTAGTAAGTCCTCATCAAAAAAAAATTGTTTATTTACACAGGGGAAAGATCACATCTTTTCTTTCATCATTGTAGTTGTTTTATAAAAGAATGGTGTTTTTTCGTTTTTCTTTAACTTTTGATTCTTTTTCATTTTACTCTCATTCTCATCTTTTGCATATGAAAATTTTTTACCTAAATTATTACTCTGCAGTTTTGACAGTTAGATGGTATGACCATTTACAGCAGAAATATATGTTTGCAAATCAGTTGATTTTGTTACTTGTTATCTTTGGTCTGTCAACTTTACATATTCTTTACGCCTGGGCTTTTTAAACTGATATCAGGTTTGTCGATATTGATTTGCGTCAGAGTGTTCCTAAGAGCGTTCGTCAACAAGCATTTCTTTTTTAGTTCTTGTTTTAAAGTTGTTACACAGAAGTATTGTACATAAACTGATGCGATTTACTTTGCAGGTATCAAGAACTTCACTTCTACTAATGGGCTCGAAACGCGATTGCCGTGTTTATGTTGGGAATCTGCCAGCAGATATTCGTCAACATGATCTTGAGGATTTATTTTACAAATACGGCAGAATAAACTTTATTGATGTCAAACTCAGTAGAGGAGCACCGTTTGCATTCATAGAATTTGATGACCCCAGGTATGTAGTCATGTGGAAAGAATGTACGATGTCTGTAATGAAGTCTTCAAATACATTATTTGGGAGTTCAGCTTCCAATGCTGATAAGACTCTTATAGTAAGATTCTGAGGATGTGAAGGAACGAGTAGTGATGACATGATTTGCCCTCACGTAAGTGCGTTCAGATCCCGCACTCCTATGGCGATTGTAATCATTTGCTGAACTCGCTTTCTTTTCCATCTCTGTAGATGCCGCTTCTCTTGCTTTCTTTTCTTTTAAGAAGGAAAGGATGTCACATCGTTTCAGGGACGCAAGGGATGCTGTGAGAGGAAGAGATGGATACGAGTTAGATGGCGTTCGTATTCGTGTTGAAATGACCCGGGGTGTTGGTCCTCGTGGTCCTGGTGGTCGTCCGTTATATGGGCCTGATCGTGACCGCCGTCCACCACCACGTGGTCCACCACCTCGTAGAAGTGGGTATCGTGTGCTTGTTACTGGTTTACCGACAACCGGATCGTGGCAAGATCTAAAGGTTAAGTATTCTGGATTTATGAGGCCATCATAATTTAAATCGATTAACGTTTTTACGTTTTCTTTCCGGCTTGGGGGTTTAACTATGTTTGCTTCAGGATCATATGAGAGAAGCAGGTGATATTTGTTATGCCGATGTTTTCCGCGATGGCACAGGTGTTGTTGAATATACGAGATATGAAGATATGAAATACGCCATAAAGAAGCTTGACGACACTAAATTTAAATCTCATGAGGTTTGACTTCGTATTTGGTTTGTTAGGTGGTTTTTTTTTAACTACGGGGTGTTTTATTTTTACTAGAGTCTGTCAATTTTCCAGGGTGATTCAGCGTATATTCGTGTGAAAGAGGCAGATCGTCGCTCTCGCTCACGTACAAGGTCACGGTCGCGTTCACCGCGTGGGTCACGTGATTCCCCTCGTTACAGTGATGAGCGCTCACTTTCTCGATCGCGGTCGCGCAGCAATAGTCGTTCACAGTCTCGTTCTCCAGCACGTTCGGCATCGCCGGCAAATTCGTCTCGCTCGAGATCGAGATCTCGTTCGCGTTCGCACTCTTAGACAACGTATGCAAATTGAACCCGCATTTTGTTTGGTTGCTTCTAGCTCCTGTTTTCAATCTGTTTTTACTGCTACTTCTTTTTAATCGGGAGCTTGTTAATTGCAGTATCTCATTTGTTGACAGTCTTTATTTTACTAAGTTTTTATGATTTTTATTAAATTTGCAACATGTTTACCGATCGCCAACGATTTTGACGTTTCCCTTATTGATTTTCGCTAATTATCTTAGTTGATATGTCGTTTTGTTTGATCGAAAACATTTCTCCCATGCCCTCTGGATTTGATATGCCGCCCACATGAGCTACCCATCAAGCTGTATGGACGTGTCTTTCAAAAGCAACGTTTGTGTGTGGGCGTTTGCGACTCGTACTTTTCTGACTCAGCAGCGTTCGTTCGCTTCCATTTGTAATTTCTGTTTGTTGTACTAGAGTTGTAATCTCGTTTGAAGGGCTACCTAAAGGAGGACCTCTTGTTCCTGCAGAACCGTTTCCACACTTACTTTGCAGTTCTTTTGTTCGTTTTTTACTTTTTCCTCTTTTTTACTTGTCTCGTTTATAGTTTGATCCTGGATGAAATTGAATAAATTTTGTTAAAATTTTACTTCATTTCAGTGAATGGGCGGCGAGGCACTCCCAATTAATTTGGAGTCAAGAATTGCGCCGCGATTGAGAATGTACCAACGATTATTGCTGAAATTCTTGCGCAATCGAATCACTTGCTCAAATTTTCGATTATTTGCATCCAAGAATTCAATCGATTTGGTGCGAAACGAAACGAAATTGACACTCCGAAACGATTTATCGAATCGATTAGTTTCTTGAAACGCGAAAAAATCGATGCGGTTGTTTGAACGATCTTTCCATGCTCGAATAGAACGAAATGCGAATTTTCGATTTAGGCTAACGAGCAACATCTCGAAGCAAGTCGCAAACGTTGGTACATTTTTTTGTCCCATCAAAATTTTTTTTGCGAACCATACGCGAATTTTGGGTAAGCAGCGTGTTGGCCTGCAAAACTGAAACTTTTTTGCTTTTACTGTAGTTCTTTTTGGGGGGTGAGTTTGGGTATCATTAAATTATTTTTCTGTTGTTTTTCTGTCAGGCCACAACTGGAATGGGTGTTTACAGCCCAGCGCAGATATTCTTTTGTAACACATGCGTTGTAGTCGCTCAGTAAATGGTTTTCATTGTGTCTATATGGGGGAGAAGTGGGAAGCGCATTTGGGAGGGGGGGAGCATGATTGGGAGCTTCTGTTAACGATGGTAATTAGGTCGCGCACGCATTTTGCTTGCATCGCCTTTTCTTGTGAGAGATGCTTTTTGCAAATTTGTCTTGACAAGTGTTTTGTAGCGCTGCGAGTACTGTCGGAGTGGCGTCTATTCAGAGAATTTCAACTCTGTGTAGATTAGATGTCATTTGCTATTGGTTCACACAGTACAAATTTTCCTCTTTTTGGAGTCTCCTTTGGTTATTGATTTTGACGGAGATAAGTGGGAGTGAGTTAAGAAGGCATGTCTAGTGAAAATTTCGGTAATGAAACAGTAGTATGCTACATTTAGTTTTATAAAAAAGTTCTTCGCGGTAAGTTTATATCAAATTTTGGCTAAACAACCGGCACACAACCCATTTTGCAATCAAGCAATTTAGTGTTTTTGTAGCTGTCCGAAAGTGCTGTGAAGTGTAACTGCAGGGGAACCATTGTTGTTAGAAGTGTTCTGCTGGAAGTCGTAGTTCCAACATGTAGAATCAGTTACGAGCAGGTAGATTTAAAAGTTTTCGATGGCATCGATATATGGTAGCGGTGCATGTGAGTTGGTGTTTTTTACATCTGGTCGATATTCCGCTTTGACGTTTTTCTGTGGCTTGTCACGACTGCTACTTATATTGCGGTTTTTTACAATGTAAGTTTGCTCAAGTGTTCTTTTTTTTTTTTTTTTTTTTTTTTTTTT